CCAAAAGATGAATCTTTTGTGAGATTTGCCACCTTTTCTACCTTTTGGTCTTTCTGCAAAGGTCCTGAAGTAAGTATAAACCACAAATTTATGGAGGGAATTGTAGGATATTGCCAAATGAAATTAAAGTGGATTTAAAGAAATCAGAACCTTTATAGACTATCGTGGTGCACTTGCGAAAGCATTCTCCAGTACCAGAAACAGAAAAATCTGTTTATTTCTGATACTTCATTAGAAATTTTAATTCACCACTCAAAGCGATAGCGAAGCATGCACACTTCAGAACAAGGCGTTACTGGTTCTTAAAACCACCTTTCTGATAAAAGCATAAGCACGTTTCAGCAGGTTTGTTACCAGAAAGGCTTTTTTCTGGAGCTCAGAAACATTCTACAGGCCTATACAGATCTTTTAAAAACACAGCTTCTTGACATAAATGATTGCTTTGTTGCAAAAGCAGTTTTATTACAGTAGTCACTTGCATAGCTATGGTTTGCTGGTCAGATCCAGTTCTGATTCACTTGAGTGTGCCAAGATCAAAGCTGACGTGATTAATCAAGAAAAACTTTTTCTGAAATCAAGGGAAGATGTCTATGAAATGGAAAGAAGTGCAATGAGTGCCAGTTAGAGGGCAAGTAACATTATTTTTATAATTCACTTTTATATTTTGTATCAGGATATGCTGCGTTTTCTGATTCAAATTGCAGGTTTATGCAATGTGAATCGCTGCAGGTGCTTTTTGCACGTTGAAATGAAAACTTCATGTATTGTGTCCATTATACGTACTCCTTTCAATAGGACTTTTGTTTTAAAGAACCTGCTGTACAAAATTTTGTTTCTGGTCTCAGTTACATGCTTAAGAGGTCTCTACATCATACCTGCAAAACCACAGAGGTCTCACCAACATGATTATGATGGTTGCTTTCCTCTTCTTTCACTTGTGTGACCGCAGGACCCAGAAATGAGCTGGCCTCCAGGGGCAAACACTGGTAGAATACAAACCTGTGTCCCTGAACCACAACAAAAGGCGGGCATCACTTGGGGACAGCTGTTACAGTTACTGTTTTGGGGTGTACAAACACCAAAGTCATTCCACTTACTGTAACAAGTTAATTAGAAAGAGCTCAGGACCAGACGAACACAGAAAAATACAGACATGGGCAAAGTAAGCAAATATGCAAGGACAAAATCAGAAGCTATTTAACGTTAATGCAGTCTCTTTAAACTCCTGCACCTTTCATCCAATTCCCTTGCCTTCAGCAGACTTCTCGATTTCCCCTTAGTCACAGACTCAAGTGGCTTTTGTGAGTGATGCTCCTCACATCACAGGCCCTCCTCAGCTTTTGTTATTGGTGCAGTTCTTGTATTTTACTCTGATCCCAGCACACAGTTTCCCCAGAGGCTGCAGTGCTTCATGCAGCATGAAAACCTCTGCATGGAAACTTAATGTCAACTTCCTCACCCAACACCTTGCCTCTCAGCCTGGAAGAAGCGTGGCCAAGCATACTTGACAGACGTGCTCCTGGCCACATGAGTTTGTTTTAGGTGCTCCTGTTACACATGCATTGAAATGTACGTTGAAGCTGACACCAGCCTAATGGCTTTTGTGAAGACTCTAGCTTTTTGCATCACCTTGGCCTAGTACACTTCCCACAAATGCTGTATCTGTCATAACGAAGACCTCCAGAATTATCAAATTCTCAGAGCAGAAACAGAACAAAACCCATTTTTCGGTAGACGGTACAAAGAACAGAGCAACAAGCTCTCTTCTCCGTGCGAGAACATGTACTACATGTACTACATGCAAGGCATGTACTAGAGGTGGGAGGTCAGGATGCACGTTTCATACACAATTCCATGGCAACTGCATTTCAGCTGCTAATTCTCAAATGCTTGTCAACGGGTCCTTCTCTCCCTCTCTAGCCATTCACAGGCTATTGTTATGCCCCCTGTCAAAAACATTGTTTTGAGGGTTATAAAACAATACTGAGACTTTCATTAAAGTCTACTAGCCATGATAAAGCAACTCATTGCACAATCATTACTGCCACATCGTAACAGAAACTCTTCTTTATTTCTTTAAGCAAAAAAAAAAAATAATTGGAAAATGATTCTTCAGCCTTTCCTGTTCAGTGCTGCCATAGACAGGACAGATATAGGACGATACTAAAGGCAAAACACCACCACATACCATTTTTACATTCTACTATAAAATTTAAAATGAAATTATGTAAACTTCAAGTCTCTGCTACTAAAAAAAATAAAACATTTTTCAATAGCATCTGCATTTTTTAAAAATTGCTTTCTGTCAGCTAGATATCATAGAATGGCCTAGGCTGGAAGGGACCTTAGAGATCATCTAGTCCAATCTCCCTGTTTTGGGCAGGGATGCCACCTCTTGACTAGACCAGGCAACACATGGGGACCGAGCGGGAATCGAACCCGCGACCTCGGTGTTGGTTCATTGTCAGCACCGCACTCAAACTACTGAGCTAACTGGTGACCTATGTGGGAAAATTTCCAACAAAAGTTTCACAGGTTCAATGTAAAAATGTAATTTATCATTTGTGGGCTTTTATTGTTAAGAAAACATGTAACTTTACTTTGAAGAATGTCTTGTATTTTTGAGCAATTGATCTTTGAAAACTAAGAGGCAGCAACATAAAAAGTCTGCTCAGCAACACCGTGCTAAAATTAAGTTTAAAATATCCACTTCTATAATCTTTGAACTACAGACCTTCTTGTTATTTGCTTTCTTAAGTGCGTTCACAGTACCTCCGTAGGTGGTAAAAATGGATTAGCACACAAGTGACATCCCAAACTTGACAGCGTACACTGGTATGAAATACATCACTAGCTGTTTATTATTTTTGTTACTGTAAATAGAAAAAAATAGTTTTCAGTCCTTTTGTCCTTAAGAACAATAAAATTATAACAACAATAAAATAATTTACCAAAAATAAAGCCTCTTTTCTCTACAAAAGATTTTTAACAACATATACTATCATGGTATAACGAAAACTAAAGCAGAGTTACACCTTCATTATGCATCACGCAATCCACAAAATATTTAAGCACATAGGGCTATATCAAAGTAGTGTATTCATTCTATAAAGCAACTAGATCTGGAGGAAAAAAGAAAAGCAAATACACCTATGAACAGACTTGATGAATTTATTCATTCACAGTTAAAAACCAGCATTCTCCTGAACAGACTACTGGACAAACCACAGTAACTCCTTTCAGATTTTTTATAAAGCTCAACAAACACCAATTCCAATCTCAATTTTTTAGCTTGAATTTGGTATCACCAATTAAATGTTACCACATGATCCATTATCAAATTTCTGTTGCTTACGAATACTCAAGACTATGATCAAGCCACATCTGTTAAAGAGATTGCAGCCCTTTCATTCGATTTGCCCGTCTTTCATTCTTACAACTCTTAATCCCCTCTTCCATCTTTAATTGCTGACACTGAATTACATGCACATCTGACTAAATGTACCTGTACCAAATCAAAGGGAAACAGCCTAAATTTTAGATAAACACTTCTTTCTGTTTTAAGCAGTCTCTGAACCATGAAGCTTCTGTGCTAGTTTTAGTATTAGAAACATGTATTTAGGTTACTACCCACAAAGCCTACTAAAATCCTTTCCATAAAGACCTTTGTAGAAGAGAGCTGCTTCTCCTCCTCCTCTTCTCTGACCAGTCCTCTAAAGTCCAACTTTTTGTACAGATATATTATTTCACACTTTGCTTATATGAAAACCTGTGGCACAACAAAATACAGAAGAAACTCAAGACCCCTGATTTTGAAACTCTGAAGATGCAAGTCATCAACACTTTGCCTTTTATGTTTTTACATATAAAAAACATCTATATACACATACATGGAAAGGTACAAATTAGTATTTATATAAGCATTACAGACAATTTGCTCTTTATGTCTGGAAAACAAATAGCAAAAATTAAAACACCTCTGGTTTACCGAACAGTAAAAACCATAAAGATTCCTGGTGTGTACTGGTCTAGTGTTAGAGCTGCTAACTTTTGTGGCATACTGCAATCAAAACCCAGTCTGCTTTCAGAAAGATTTAGACTAGAATTTATCATTTCTCTGGTCTATTATGTGGGCTGAGAACAGCCTCTTCACAGTCTACACAGGTGAGCTCCTCTACAGCACTGCCCCTCTTTTTGAAAAGATTGATACATTTAAGTGAAAAGTCATCAGTTAAGATACAAATCCCAAGCTAAAATCCCCAACTTAGAGCCTCAGTGCCTCTTCCTCAATTTCTGAGCGCTGGAAGTGGTTGCCAAAATCATTAAGAGACATTCAAAAGCTGTCTGGACATAGTCCTGTGCAGCCTGATCTAGGTAGTCCTGCCTGAGCTGGAGGGTTGGATAACGACCTCCCGGAGTCCCTTCCAACCTCAAACATTCTCTGACTCTATACTGCTTTTGTTTGTAAAGCTGTTTTTTCTCAGCATCTATAAAAAAAATTTAGTGATTAACAAATCAGAAACAACTTACTGCAGTTACACACAAAATCAAGTGTTTATTTACTATTTACAAGTATAAATACAGTAGTGCTACGAGTACTCTGCTTCGTTCTTCATTATCATGGCACCTTAGATAAGGATAAAATATTACACAAGCAAGACACCTTAGTTTTACTAGGCAGCTGAGCAGTCACTGCTTAAGTTTAACCAAAACAAATATGGCACATGTCATAAGTGATATTCTTCTATAGTTCTATAAATCTTTAGTACTAAAAGCAACTGTACATTGGATTTTTATATTTTTTATCAAAGAAATAGAACATTTTATTATTTTCATCAAAGGATTAATAGTTTATTTGGTCACAAGTCATAACGGCCTTCTAACTTCAGTATCTTACAGCATCAACAACTCACAGCTTTAGAGAGAACATTTCTTCTTTTTTTTGTTTTAGTCCATTGGGGAGCCACTGCCAGCAGATGCTGTTGATGATGCAAATTCCATCATTTCAGCTGCATGACAACCTTCAGAAAGGAGAAAAGGAATGAGGTTAAAGTTGGATGAAACCAAAACTTAAGTGGTCTAGGAAATGTGGCTTTCTGCTTTCTGTTACAGTTACATACACAGCTATATAAACATGTCTTTGCTCTGGAAAATACACTGTCCCTATGTCAGTTCTCACAGAATTATCACTTCTGATAACTTTCCTTAGCATTTACTGCTCACAAACTATTCTTGAGCTCCCTGTACCCAAAAAGTACACTGGTAATTTGCAGGTCCAGTGAGATTCCTTCCGCACAAAGCAGGACCAAGGGACCATTCCTCGACTGAATTCCTCCTTGTGCGTACACAGAACTAAGTCAGGAGATGACAACATTCCACAGCTTCCATGCAGACCTTCAAGTAGAACAAAAGGAATGTGGAGACTGCTGGAGCCTGTCCCAGAAGAATCCTTGTTTGCGTAGTGTAGAGTTAATGACAAGCTACTATTTTTATTTAGTTTTGGAGGGAAAAATCCAGGGGAAAGCAAGCTGTTAAGGGCACTGATTTCATGAGACCACCATCTGTACCTAGACTAATAAATACATTTCTTTCACCGAGAACTGTGTAGCTATTCAGAGGTCTCATATCAGCTTCATTAAAGCAATGGATAGGCATAATCTTACTGTCTTTTTCAATCTAAAATATTAACAGCACTATTGTAACTTAGTATTTAACTGTTCTACGAGCTAGAGATTATTTTCAGTTGTTACACACTGATGAAGATTTTTTCTAGATACTGGTCTACAGATTCCAGCTAGAGTACCATGGTGTTACATAAAACATCTAAAGAAACCCCTTAATTGCTAAACGTTATGAAATAACTAGAAGCTGCTAACTTCTAAAACATCTTGATGCAACACTTTCACAACCATCCTGTAAGACGTCAAAGAAGTCTCCCAGATACCAGAGTTAATAAATACTTGAAGACATTTTCAGATTTAAAAAAAAACCCCAACAAATGCTTTCCTTTATAACAGAAGACAGAATTAATCCTGAGAGGAACAAGGACAGACTCCAGGCCTTACAGTTATTACCAGGGTGCAAGTCAGATGACACTTCTTCCTCCAACAATTTTTCTTTAAATCCTTACTTCCCTTAATCTTCTTCTATTAAAAAATCTGAGACACTCCAAGTTTGCCTTGAAATTTTCTTCTCAGGTTATTTCATTGGAACCTTTGTAACTTATTATGCCACAGAAATTAAAGTACTCAATTTGAACTAAACAGTTCTTGCACATGCATTCCCAGCCACCCATGTTTTGTGAGGCTGGGGTACCTTTCAGCCTTTCAAAATCAACTCTCATCTGACCCTTGGTCATTTCACTTGCTTCTCCTATTCTCACAAGACTTTTTTCTGGTGGTCTGAACAGACTATTATGCTTACCAGGATTCTAATGACATTTAAAAAAAAAAAAAATCAAGACTAAACTGTGCTGAAAAAGCCCTTAAGTTTTATCTAGGCTTTCTATAGTCATTTTGCCAATGAATGATTTACTTTGGGTTTTCAGCATGATGCCCATAACAAAGAATTTCAGTTTAAACAAACTCAGCACATGAAAAGTCTGGACCAAAGGACAGTATCAGTAAAAGCTACCTTATTAGCGGCTTCCAGGGCATTTAATAGGTTCTGCAACTCTTCTTTATTCATCTCTATAGAAATTGGTTTAATTTCACCATTTTCTCTCACGTCCAAATCCAGATTGAGAAGTGGCATTTGCAGCATGGAGATCTTATCACTGGAGAGAGCAAGCTAGGCAGATTGATGAAACAACAACACAGTGTAAGGTGAAGCCATTAAGTTTTTAGACTTTCATAATATCAGATTTGCGCTTTATATTCATCATGTACTACCACATCAACATGAGCAAATTAACTTCTAACAAGTCACCTCCGTGGTTTTCATTTTGCCTTTTTTTTTTTCCCCCCTCTTTTTTTCCCCTTTGGGATTTTTGGTTTGTTTGTCTATACCAACAATATACTGAAACACTTAAATGCCTCTTCATAGTAATACATTTGTCAAAATATTTTGTTAAAATTACTGAGTTGCTACATGTTTGTATTCTAGGTGAAAAAAAAGGATGCATTTGATCATGGTTCTTTAAAAGTAAAGGCTATTAATTCTGAAGTCACTGTATTCAAATAGTTCTGGTAACCAACAGCAAGAATATCCTGTCTGACAAGCACTAATTAAGACAATTACACATTGATTGTGCTTTCTTTTTCCTTTACTATTATATACTATAGTGTAAATATGGCTTTTAAAGTAAAGTAAAATGAAAGATCAGCTGATAATACTGAAGGTCAGTACTGTACACATCTATCTTATTTAGAGGGCAGAATGTGGTATAGCAGAGGAGAGACAATGTCCTTAGTAAGATTCCACTATGGTAAGTAAAAAAAAACCCAAACTCACCATTAGCTCAAGGAAAAAAAATGAAAAACAAAAAAATCCAAAAGAATCAAAATGAATACAATAGTTCAGTCATGTATCACATATTTGTATCACAAAATACTCCCAAATAAAGTTAGAAGAAACCACAGAAAAAAAACCCCAAGAGTTGCCCCAAGTCTAGTTTATATTTTTGTCAGCAGTAAATGCAGTTAGCAAGAGATCAATTCCCAGTAACAGTTCCTCTGAAGCACATTATGACAGCATAATGGCTCTTGCAAAATCTTGTCTACTGTGGGCATTGCTCTTTGATTTCCAAAGCCATTTGCTGCACAAACTCTCATTGAAGTTATATACAAATTTCAGTTTATACAAACTTCTGGCAAGTCTTTGATATGTTATCATGACTGTGCTTTTCTGATACCTATAAAAATTGAACCATACTCCAGAATGAGCAGGCCTAAGGAGACTATATCAATAGCTACTTCAGTGTTGGGCAATGCCTCTTTCAAACAAAATTAAGACAACACTCTCACCTTTAACTGCCAGTCAAAATCCTGCAGCTGGGCGGAAGAGATCGCATTTACTCTTTCCACTAGCGCATTCCTGATTTCTTCCTTTCTGCCTTTTAGACATTTTGTGATTGCTTCCTGATAGTCTGAATTTAACTCATTTATCTGCTGAACAGCCTACCAAAATAAAAATTAAAACTGTGTGATTGATTAAACTATGAACCACAGAAATAACATGCACCACCTGTAATAGCTGTGCTCTGTAGATATCCCAGCTTCCACCTAGGTAGCTGTTGTATTGGACTCCACCGTCTTATCTTTCTTACACTGTCCTCAGTGGCTGCTCTTTGTGTTTGATAGTTAAAGGCAGTATTTATCACAGCAACATATAAAGAAAAAAATAGTTTTCTTGTAATTTAAATGAAAAGAGGCCAAAGAACAGAGGCATTATTGGCCTTCTTAGATGCCATCCTAAAATCAAAAGAAAAACACACACACAAACAACTCAGGTTTAGCTCTGAAGTTTCTGAACATTGGAGTGGATGCAAAACGCCTTAGCTCAGCTGAAACAGACTGATGTAGGAACTGTCCTACGGCTACACAAGTATCTTTCCTCAATCTAGCTACTAGCAAATAGTCAAAACATGAACAAAGGGCAAAAGAGAAGAATTAAGATTTTTGATAACGGAACAAGTTTTTACAAAGTGTCGACATATTGGAATGCCCTAAATTACAGGCCCTGTCCCACATGGTCCTCCATTCACACTCCAGGTTGTTTTCTGTTGATTTACATAGAGTCAATATTTTAGAACACTTCAGCAGTAATGAAAACAGAAAGCCAAACAAGACTGTGAATTGGTTTTATTGCTAATCAACAATAACCATTTGTTATGCATTTTAAGCAAAACAGATTTAATTTGGTGGTACATCAGAAATCAATTTAAAAGACTAAACCAGTATTTTAACCAGGGTTATCCAGCCCTACAAGAAAAATAAACCAGTGTCAATTCCACTTTTTATTTTAAAGTCTCTGCCGTGTATCTCTAAATGCTGCTTACCTTCTACCTATATAGGCTTAGTCTACTGCTATTCAAATGCTACGCTATAAAAATACTTTAGAACTAAATAAAATACAAGACTATCCACTCTAATATGATCTCTCAATCACTGATGAGCCCTTACCTCTTCATCAGATATGTTTTTGCCAACTGCAGTTTTGAAATAGGTCGTTGTTTCTTCTAAAACTTCCATCCACTCTGACAAACTCCAAATGCTACCGTAATCCTGGTATCGAGGATATGCACGGCCGCATATGCCATCAACTATTTTGTGAAGGAACTGAAACAATGCGATACATAGATTAAGAGCATAATTCTTTCACAGTTAACCTGCACCAGGTATGAGACTGATAAAGCAATTCAGCTAGCACCTAGCTAAGGAAGGCATGATGTCACAATGCTTCCTCTGAGATGCACCCCACACACCATTCTAAAAAGTCAGGAAGAGGCAGTCCCTGAATATGAACTGTCCTCCTCTCTAAGTCAATTCACAAGGTTTGGCCACAGGAATCACAATGTGATTCAGAGTTACCTAAGATATATATTTGGACTTAACAGTTTTGTACACGACTACGGAGCTACCACACCACACACAGAATCATAGAACAGTTTTAGCTGGAGGAGACTTTGAAGATTATTGAGTACAACGTTTGTCCCAGCCCTATCAATCCACTAAACTATGTCCCCCAATGCGACCTTTCAGGGAGTTGTAGAGAGCGATGAGGTCTCCCCTCAGTCTCCTCTAGGAGAGGAGGCCTTTCCTCATACAACGTGTGTTCTAAGCCCCTTACCACCTTTGCAGCCCACCTCTGTGCCCTTTCCAGCACTTCGATGTCCCTCTTGCAGTGAGGGGCCCAAAACTGGACACAGTACTGGAGGTGAGGCCTCACCAAAGCTGAGTAGAGGGGCCCGATCATCTCCTTGCTCTTGCTGACAACACACGGCATCTCGGTCATCTCTGCACTGGGACTGCCAGGATACAACGCACAACTGATCCCCAAACCTGCTCCTGTGGATCTTTCCGGTCTCCCAAAACACTGAGGCTGTTGTATGTGCCTGCCTCCTTGGTCTGCTGCGGTAATTTTTCTCTGAGCACCCTAGTAAGGCAAATCCAGCCGGCCTGTTACTTCACCCACTGGAAATCTGCTGGAGCCAAAAAAAGCCGAGAGCTGCCGCACGCAGGCCGGCCCTGCTCAGCACCAGCTCGCAGGGCCCGGCCCTCAGATGGCGCAAGATTTGCGCCAGGAAGGGTATTTCCAATCTTTCAAGCGCAAAGGGAGCGCAGGGACACCCGCAGGGCGCGTCCATGGCCTATTTTGAGCCGGTGCTTT